GTGAAAGAGAAAGAGAAGACTTGAGAAGAAAAGACAATAAAAGAACATGGTTCAGGAAGACAGAAGATGGCGGTTGGCGCTGCATTTAAACTTTTGAAGATTTTAGATATCAGGGAAGCAAGAAATCGGAAAGGGGCTCAACAGGCAAGAAGTGCGAGAAAAGAAAATATTAGAATAGAACATACAGTTGCATCTAACTAATTCAACAGAAAAACGGCGAAACTTAATTGCCAATCTAGTAGCACGCTTAAATTCATGCAGTCGGGGCAGCAATGACGGAACTCATCAGAACAAATGCCATGAAAATATTTGTAGAAAAGAGAGAGGAAACTCGCATCACATCGGCGAGAAAGTGACTGAAGTCGAGATGTCAGACATTACATTACAGACCTTTTGAATTTTTGTATAAAATCTTTTTAGCATTACCAGTAACTATTTTATTTTAAAAAAATAGCTTTCTTTTTCTGTATTCCTTATTGCCAGAGCCGTTTTGACTTGAAGGCACGCTGAAATTCAAAGGATCAGAGCATGCCCATCTGCTTGGACTCATTTATGTTTCCTCAACACTCCAACACCCACAAAGCCAATATGTGGTTTATACTGCAACCTAGCTGAGCCGACTTTAATAACAGTTCAAGTATGTACCGCACCAGAGTCACATACAGTTTTTAGTAAAACTAATATGAATCTAGTCCAAACGAAAAATGCGCTTTAAATAGGTAAAATCAACCCTTGCTTCATCATCGCGGCCTCTGTGAGCAAATTGGTAAAGCACGTTTCTGTCGAAAGTGACAAACACGTGATTATAGACGAATGGCACGAGATTTGCAGGTAACACTAGAGTTCATTAAATGATCAAGAGTTCAGTGGATAGGTCAAGAGAAGACAATCGCAAAAGAACCAGGTCCCGGCACCAGATATGATGTGCATTAGAAAGGAAACGTATGTCACTTCAGGGTAGGATTTAATAATATTCCAGAAAATTAGAAAACACCCGAGCAAAATCGGAGACTACACAACACAAGCATTCCGAAAAGAAAGAAAGAAAGAAAGAAAGAAAGAAAGAAAGAAAGAAAGAAAAAAAAATAAGAATATTACTCTGAACCAACCCACATAAAATAATGGTTAGCTTCATCCTAGTATTTTAAATGGATTGCAAGTAAAACGCTTATTGGTACAGTTGATGGTGTTACGATTAAGATGATTTTGCATTTTTGACATCAGTTTTTAATCTCACCTCACCTTCTGGTACAGTGAAGTCTCGTAAGATTTTGTTCGAAAGAGCATCAAAATTAGTTTCACGTCTTTCTTCCCTTTTCGTCTTTTTCCTTTCCTACCACCATAATAACACTTACTAGTACCATTTCTATTAATGCCATTATCATTGCTATTATCAACTCAACTACGACGACGCTGACGTTTTCAATTCGTCTCTGTTCTTCCAGGGCTAAAGATTTGACGATCTTGTTTATTTGTGATTATTTTAAGACGCCTTCCGTTCGTTCTACACACAACGTCAGAGATCAGTCGATATCTTATTTTAAGCTTTACCTTATTTTCTCATTTTATTTTCCTTCGCTGATTGTTTTTCTCGTTTTACTGAATTGTAACTAATTGCTAAGTTTCTATATGCAAAGTGAACATTATATATTTATATGGTGACTTATATACATATGGTGATTTACACACAAACGCATACATGCATATATATATATATATATATATATATATATATATATATATATATTGTCTGCAACTTTTTGCTATCTGGAATATGGATGCGCAGGTGGTGTAAGGTATTTCGAATCAAAATGAGAAATCGAAGAGCAGGATCCAAATGCCAGCCCGGTTCGTTACATTTACTCACGCGTAAATATCCTTGCGGAAGGTATGAATTCATATGTTCCCTCAGATATGGGTCAAATAGTAAGACTTAGATCTCGAAAAATCATTCAGAATTTCCAAAAAGCGTCAATGTAAGGAATAAGCAAAGAGCTAGGAAGTCCACTCTTTAAAAAAAAAATGTCACCGAAATGACAGATGCAACCTTTGACCTACGGTGGTGTTACAGAGGTTATATATATATATATATATATATATATATATATATATATATATATACTATTACTACTAAATGGACCAAGTCCGACAATTATTTAATATATTTTATTGTTATACGTTATTTATATAGACACAAACATCTAAGTAAATGCTCTGTTTTTAATAACCGATATTAACAACATTTACCGGCCTGAATGTCCGAGAAATTTCATAGAAAATACGCGCCCTTTGACAGGATTCGAACCTGTATCCTACACGGAACAGCTATACCAGTTTAGCTACGAGGAGAGTCTGGTTAGCAATGTCGATTTTACTGCTTTTAAACTACAACCATTTTCACCATCAGGGTGACTGGTTAAGCCATCTCGAGCTAACGTCTTCCGCTAACATGAAGTGGAAAGATTATATTGAATTAATTGCTAACATTGCTGCAAGGAGCGTACGGTAGGCAAGGTCGAATTTACTGCATATAAACTTCAATCTTCCATGAATCTCGTACATTCATAACTGCTCATGGCGTATCACACCTACCGAACGCTCCTTTGTGGCCGAGTCGGTTAAGGCACGTCAGCGTAAATGACGGTTCCGTATAGGATGCAGGTTCGAATCCTGTCAAAGGACGAATATTTTCTATGAAAATTTCTCGGACATTCAGACCGGTAAATGATATTTAATACTGTTTATTATAAACAGAGCATTTACTTAAATACTTGTATCTATAAAAAGAATGTTAAACATAAAAATGTCTTTAATAAATTGTCGGACTTTGTCCAATTCATAATATATATATGATATAATTTTATATATCAAGAAAAAGTATTTAGAAAAATATGACAAACTGACTACTTCTCTCTCTCTCTCTCTCTCTCTCTCTATATATATATATATATATATATATATATATATATATATATATATATATATGTGTGTGTGTGTGTATCTTCAAATGTAGGCATAAAGACAAACTTCAAATCCCCTAAAAACGCTTACCGCATGGATTTTTGGGTGAATGACACAGGAAGTTGTGGTTCGTTGATAAGGATATCATGTGTCGATATGTAAATTTGGACACGTAGTTGTAAGTGCGTACATGATAGTAAGTATTTTGAGAACGTCCACATTCATGGTGGGACCTAAGACTCTCTTGCCGAGGTACACCTTATCCATGTTTCCAAACTAATACATTTTATAACATTTTCTTCCTTAAGTTTAATATTTGTTTTTGAATGTCTATTCGCCTCTTAATTCTCCAACGTCATCTACTGTACCCACCTATTGTATCTGACATATTATTGTGATTTCTAATTATTATTTGTACTAGTGACAACCTCATAACTATCAACCCATCGTATAAACCCATTTGCATAGTTCCAAAATTTAAGAAGTATCTAAGCAGGGCAGGCTGCTAAAGTTATTACCCTGCCTTTTCCTACTAACTGTTCTCTTCCCCAATCCTTCCACTTCTTTTATAAATGTCCCCACTGACTATAAGACTTCGACCAAAACACAAATGCTTAAGTTTTACCACGGCAACACCGACTTTTATTTTATTTAGATTTAATTGAATTAATTTGAATCGACCTGATTTGTCCTTCATAAAAACAACAAACGCTATCGGCCAAAGTAACATACAAACCAATATTAAAATCAAAAAATATGTAGAGAAAATTCTTGGATGAGGAAACCGACCACTACTAACCACTAATCTCTAAGCCTTATATTTACTCAATCCCTCTCTCTCTCACTCTCTCACCTTTCCTCCCCACTACCAAGCTAAAGTATCCGTCCAGGTTTTCGTTCTGATGAGATGAACATCTCGGTATTCATGAAATGAAAATTATAAACGAAATGGATAATTAAAGTCTTAGTCTTCTTCTTATGAATACACACACACACACACACACACACACACACACACACACACACACACATATATATATATATATATATATATATGTACAAACACTTCCTGGAATCAAGCACTCTTCCCAAAATATTCAACAAAAACACAGTAAAACCAGTGTGTAACTGCAGAATAAAGAATGAATGTCCCTTAAACGGTAATTGCTTACAAAACAACGTAATATACCAAGCCACGGTAAAATCACCAGATAATGAAGAACAAATACACATAGAAGTAAATGAAGGGCGCTGGAAACAAAGAAACTATGTAAACAAAACATCTTTCACAAATAGTAAATACGCGAACAGGACAATGCTTTATATATATATATATATATATATATATATATATATATATATATATATATATAATATTAAAACAATATATGAGTTTTCACACACAGAGCCCAAAACGACGCTTCAAGAATCATTTGAAAACATCCCTGATACTGGTTAAAATCGCTCCTGAGACTTGGGAAAACTTTGCTGCTAATTGGAAGGGGGGAGCGAAGCTTTTTGTCCAACCATTAAGATGAAGAGGATCTTTCTCTCGCCCAACGGCTTCCAGCATCCACACTCCTCTGTGACTCCTGTTCACGACTCTTCAGGAGCTGGCTTGGCCTTCACAACCATATCCACCACCGCCACCATATATATATATATATATATATATATATATATATATATATATATCGCATAACATTTGCTCTATTTATGCGGAAAGAGTTCTCCCTATTGGTTATATATCGTTTATAGATATAGCCAGCGTGGACCTAGAAATCAAAATAGCATGGCGACGGTCAGCTTTACACATTAATGCGATCTTCAGACCAAGTGTCAATATTCTTTTAGCGAACAGTTTTGATCACCACCGGAAGATTAAAACAAGTGGGAAAAGAGAAAAGCATCCGTTTTCAGTGCTTTTGTTTATGGCTAATATTTAGATTTATTTATGGTCATGACTTCTACATTGCTTATTTTGCTGGTTGGGTGATTGGAGGAAGTCTGTATACAAGTAGGTTATATGAGAGTAGACAATGACTTTCTTCGATGATTACACGCAATCCGTATGCATCTATATACAGCATGTTGACTAGGCTATTGCGTGGGCTCGAACACCTCACCAAAGGAGTCATTTTGGGAAAGCGACTTCAGCAACGAAGCGGGCCAAGAATATTTTAGCTCTGTCCGCCTCTAAATTAACTTGATTCAAGAATATCGATCAGCCTATTTTGAGCCTGTAGCTTTCTCTCTCTCTCTCTCTCTCTCTCTCTCTCTCTCTCTCTCTCTCTCGTTTCGTCATTAATTCAATGCAGTTAAGTGTACATCTTTCTTATGTGGACGTTTTCACTGGAGAGCTCCCATTTTCCCGCCAACCAGAGATCCGACCTTATCGGATGACCGACAACTCGCTTGAGTTAACTTCTCAGTGCACATGAACTTGATTTCTCTTGACTTGTATCCTCTTATTCCCTCTCCTGTCAAATGAAACTGAAGTAAAAAAAAAAAAAAAAAAAGTGAGTTTTCAGGAGGAAGTAAACTTTGACGAATAGCTAGAATGAAATAACTTTGTTGTTTGTCTTTTTAAGTCTGTTTATGGAGAAAAATCTAACTCTAAATCAGAGAGATAGCAAAATGAACGGTTTCATATTAGGGGTTAGCTAAACGAACAGACTCAAATCAAACTGGTTACGAAACGAACGGTTGCATATCCGAGGGTTAGCTAAACGAACAGTCTCAATTCTGGGATGTAGGAGAAACGAATTCCCCAAAATCTATCTATCTATCTATCTATCTATCTATCTATCTATCTATCTCAAGTCTTTTCATATCTATCTATCTATCTATCTATCTATCTATCTATCTATCTATCTATCTATCTATCTATCTATCTCAAGTCTTTTCATATCTATCTATCTATCTATCTATCTATCTATCTATCTATCTATCTATCTCAGTCTGTTTAGATCTATCTATCTATCTATCTATCTCAAGTCTGTTTAGATCTATCTATCTATCTATCTATCTATCTATCTATCTATCTATCTATCTATCTATCTATCTAGAGTCTTTTCAGATCTATCTATCTATCTATCTATCTATCTCAGTCTGTTTAGATCTATCTATCTATCTATCTATCTATCTATCTATCTATCTATCTATCTATCTATCTATCTATCTCAGTCTTTTCAGATCTATGTATCTATTTTTTAAGATACTAAAACATGTAAAAATCTCTACATAGTTGCAGTCGTATTTCAATGCGTATCAATGCATCTCATAAGACTATTGTAAATAACTGGCGACTGAACGATTTATTTAGATTTAAAAATAAAATACAACCTCTTTTTACGAAAAAAAAGGGGGTTATAAAGTTTATGGGCTTTACTCTGATCAACCAATCAAATATGACCTACATTAAATTTAAACGATGCGAAGAAGCAAAAATTATTTTTTTTTTTTATAAATGGGTCATGACCCGTAGATTGTAGATTGGCAGCTAACGGCAGCCAGACATCAACTAAAGCGGATACATATGGTCACATAAATTATACAAAGCAGACAATGCAGTTTCCTAAGAAATAAAAGTGCGGTGGTGAAGTAATTTAACAAAATCATAAACAAGTTATCTGTTTTGTGAATTTCCTAAATAAATTTTTTATAGTTGATAATAGCTTCTTTAAGAAACTAGTAAAATATTTTAAATATATAGAATAATTTGTTAAATTAGTATGCAACTGTTAAATAATGATCCTTCATATAATATGTTAAGAACACTAACCAATTAATGTAAAATGTCAAAAATAGCAACCAAATACCTATACATCTGTACAAGATGTTACCAAAACAACCAGGAATTTAATACAAAATTATATTAAATCCAGATTAATCGTACAAATAAAAAGATAAGCTTTATATAGTGCAACGCAGTACAACTAAAATATAAGAAAAAGCATTACGAAATTCTAAAGTTTAACTAAATTGTAAGGTAAACTATGATTACAATTTACTCTTAACTCATTTCTTTGATTTAACAATGTATTTTTGTCAAAAAATCTGATGATTTCGAGTTTTTCATCTAAACACGGAAAACAGGGTTTATATAACAATATACATGCACCTGCCATTTTAAAAAAATTAAAGTTTCACCTTAGGAGTCTTTTTATCATCTTTTAAACTCCAAAATATTTAGAAAGTGATGTATTATTTCCATAAGTAGTATTTTTAAAGAACAAGGTATATTGATACCACCTAGTCTTGAAAGAATTCTCAGTACCCCCAATATAGAATTTTTCAACCGTCGGATTCTCTATTGTAGAGATAGTACTAAGATAAACAAGAGATTTAGTTAAACATTTGTTTAGCAGTGTTCATTGGTCAGAATTCCTACAATTGCATTGGCCGATATCATTAATATTTATCTTGGAACGTGTATTATGATCCAGAATTTTAAATTGGTTTAAAATTTTATTATTATGTAACTTTATAATTTTCTAGAGATTATTGGTGCAGCTATAACTTAATTTTAAATATTTTACTAAGAGAGTTACTTTTAGGAAGATGTTTATCAATCAAATAGAGGAATTTATGGCCTAACTTAATACTGACTAATTGATTAAATGGAGGTTTGTACCAAATGCTTTTCCTATTTCTATTTCTTTTCATATTTTCTAAACTTGAAATTCGTAAATAATTATATAGACCACACTACAACATGTTTGAACGGCAGACTCACTCTACACCTTTCTGACCATAGCTCAATTAGATCTCATTTAAATATTCATGGAGACCTACCGGACACTATTCGTAACATACTTGTTGACAACACTAATATAATAGCATCATCTACATGCAAAAAAGGCTAAAAATAATGGAAGCCTTATTAATAAAAAAAAACAAAAAAAACAAACAAACTAACACTTAATAATATTAACTTTGAACATGAACATAATATCTTGACCGTGTTTTGAAAAATTAAACATTTTATAAAACATACATACAACTAACTATTTCTTATTTTAACAGTTAAAATATAATCCTTGAAAATGGCTAAATGTATAGCCGAAAGCGCACGGATAAAAAGAACATTCGGACAGTTTTTATATAATTTATCATCAGAAAAAAAATTAGATCGCATGAGAAATTGTATAAAAAACTAAATAAAAGTACCTTGTCTGTCGTTTTTAATGAAATGTGCATGAAAGAAGGATTGCTGCCTAAATACACACACACACACACACACACACACACACACACACATATATATATATATATATATATATGTAATTACTTAATTCGAATTACATTTCAGTACTGGTTATCGTTGATTTTGTTGAATACAATGATTAGTATCCTATGATAGAGTCACATATAATGAGATCTTACGTTATACAGTGTAGTGTTAATTTTCTTTTAAGATCTTATTAAAATATGAAAAGCATATGCATAACTAAAAGCTATACAGTGATCGAGCACGCGATATAATCCCCCTGTGCCTCGACAGAACTGATCATCAGATGCTTAAAATGAAGTCGGTTCCATTATGCCACCAACAGCTGTACCTGTGGGTGTCGACTACTAGCATCCCTGTTCCCATGAGGGGGGAGATTGAAGCAGTTGCCGCCCACGAAGGACAGACATGTGCATGAATGTTCAGAGGAGTAAAATGAAATAAAAAATAAAATAAAGCGTCTGACGATCGATTCTATGGAAGCACAGACTGATTATTTCACGAGCTCGATCACCGTGAAACGTTTAGGTACTCATATGCTCGTCACGTTTCAATGATATCTAAAAGAACGCTGTATATATATATATATATATATATATATATATATATATATATATATATATATGTGTGTGTGTGTGTGTGTGTGTGTGTGTGTGTGTGTGTGATATAATTAGGGAGAAATTATTCTTATGTCTTATTATAGAGTATAGATATTTTGTGTCTATTGAGTTTGTCGATCTTCCTCTTGAAATTGCGAATGTTCCTTCACGAAAATACATACAAAGTGTTAATAGCATTGATCATGTGAAGGTTAATTTAACATAAATAGCATATTGACTCAGCAATGTTGATTTTGTTGAAATAAAATCCTTTTGTTGGCGTCGGATTCATTGGCAAAACATGTCAATTAAAATTTGGCTAGGTTGAGAGGTATGTTTGTATGAGTGCGTTTCGGGTGAGAAGATGTAAAAAGAAGGTATTGTCAAGAGTCAGTCGGTTTAAATTATATGTCGATTTCTAGTTTAGTGTTTGTTTTTGTTATTAATATGTCTAAAAAGTTTTTTTTTTTTTTGCTGTACTCCATGTTAGGATTTATATTATATTAATAATAATAAGATGTTTGGAATGTCTTTAGTTTATCCAGACTTTCGTTCCACAGAATGAAACAGTCATCTAGATATCTTTTTTTAGTTTTCTTTTACATATACTCAAAACGACTGACTCACGACAATACCTTCTTTTTACATCTTTTAACCCGAAACTCACTCGTACCAACTTTCCCACTCATCCTAGCCAAACGGTTATATACAATAGTCTCAAACACAACCAACGAAGACCACAGACTAGAAGAGATGAAAAAATACTCATCAAGAGAAAATACCCCCAAAGTTTGATCGACAATAGTATTGAAAAAGCAAAACAAAGTAACATCCACAGAGTCCGAGAAACAAAAGGAAAAAAGGTCATCCCTTATATCTCAACTTTCAACCCAAAGAACACAGAAATCTACACACACACAAGCATACAAGTAAATCTACCAATCGTACTAAAGGTCAAAAAATGAAAAATCTATTAAAAAAATATCCAATTATAAAAAGCAGACGACAACCTAAATCACTAAAAAAAAAAATAATACTGACGAGTTCAAAACAGCAGAACACAATTAAAGACCCTCAGATGAAAAAACGCAACTGACCCCTTTGTGGGGTATGCAACTACCTATTAAAGGGTCATGAATTTCGTTTCAAAGACGGATCAAAATTAAGAATGATTTCTCGTGCGACTCAGAGAATTTAATATACATAATTACATGCAAAGGTTGACACGAGAATTACATTGGCTAAACCCGGCTAGTCACTCCGGCAAAGGATGACAGTTCATCACCAACAAATATCAAACCAGAAAAATAACCCCTGAACCAACATATAGAAAAATGCGGAGGACAAAATCTGCCAAATTTTAGTGTCTTCCTATTCTACCAGTGCGACTACAGAACCACTGAACAAAGGCGGTTTTAATAAGGAGAAAATTTTTCATAAACACGTTTAAACCGATACTTATTTTCATATATATATATATATATATATATATATATATATATATATATATATATATATATATATATATAAAAGTGTAATTAGTAAATTGTTCCTTCAGACATGTCTTACTACAGAATATAGACATGCTGTGTCTATTGAGTTTGTCAAGCTTCTTCACGAAATTTCGAATGATGTCTGACGAAAATAAATTCAAGCGTTAACAGTGTTATGCATATGACCGTTAATTTAACATAAATAAAGTCTTTTGTCGACAATGTAGACTTTGTTGAAATAAGACCCATTTTTATGATGACGCCCGATTCACTGGCGAAACATGTCAAGCTAGTTTCCCCAAATGTTTTTTGTCCACTTTTTTAGCCATTTCCACGACTACTTTACCCACGTCCCTAACACCAAATATCACAACTAGTCACACAAGACGTTGTTTGATGACGTGTTTCTTTTTTTATATGCAATAGAGAATGCTAGGTTGGAGACTGTAATTAGTTTTATTAATGTTTAATTGTTTCTGTCTGATTTACAGAGTGCGATAGGTGAATTGTCACCATTTTATATTTTAATTTTGCGCATGCGCGTTGTTTGTTTTGGATTTTGTCGACTGCACAGTATAGTAGGGTCAGTTGACCAACGACTGTGAGAAAAAAAGAGCACCATGCTGCAATTTACTCCACCAGAAATTTGAAAACTGCATGGGGTCAGGGCTGTGTCTCCAAAAATGTACCGATGAAATCCAAATATCCAAACATCATCATAGTGTTTGGAGTGATCACTGGTGATGGTGACGTTATGTCTCCATTCATTTACCCACAAGGACTCAACAGATAGGTAGATCAAGTGTCTTGAGAAGGTGACTTGGGTCAAGAGGGTTGCGCTGAAAGACACTATGTCTAAT